GTAGAACTAGGGTACTGTTGACTAGCTTCCTTTCCTCTAGTTGAGAATTAGTACTGTTGACTAACTTCCTTCCCTCTAGTGTAGAACTAGGGTACTGTTGACTAGCTTCCTTTCCTCTAGTTTAGAACTAGTACTGTTGACTAACTTCCTTCCCTCTAGTGTAGAACTAGGGTACTGTTGACTAGCTTCCTTCCCTCTAGTTTAGAACCAGTACTGCTGACTAGCTTCCTTCCCTCTAGTTTAGAACTAGTACTGCTGACTAGCTTCCTTCCCTTTAGTGTAGAACTAAGGTACTATTGACTAGCTTCCTTCTCTCTAGTTTAGAACTAGTATTGTTGACTAGCTTCCTTCCCTCTAGTTTAGAACTAGTACTGTTGACTAACTTCCTTCCCTCTAGTGTAGAACTAGGGTACTGTTGACTAGCTTCCTTCTCTCTAGTGTAGAACTAAGGGTACTGTTGACTAGCTTCCTTCCCTCTAGTTTAGAACTAGTACTGTTGACTAGCTTCCTTCCCTCTAGTGTAGAACTAGGGTACTGTTGACTAGCTTCCTTCCCTCTAGTGTAGAACTAGGGTACTGTTGACTAGCTTCCTTCTCTCTAGTTTAGAACTAGTACTGCTGACTAGCTTCCTTCCCTCTAGTTTAGAACTAGTACTGTTGACCAGCTTCCATCCCTCTACTTTAGAACTAAGGTACTGTTGACTAGCTTCCTTCCCTCTAGTGTAGAACTAGGGTACTGTTGACTAGCTTCCTTCCCTCTAGTTAAGAACTAGTGCTGTTGACTAGCTTCCATCCCTCTAGTTTAGAACTAAGGTACTGTTGACTAGCTTCCTTCCCTCTAGTTTAGAATTAGGGATGACATTTTGCAGATAGCCCTTTGTGTAGTTTTATTATTTACCCTAATGTTGTTTAAAATTATTCTTATCTTTTTGGAACTTTTAATTGTAGGTTGTTTTTTATTTTATCATAATTTCTACTTATAAAATACCATGCAAAATTTGTAAGAGTTTCTCAAATTATTTCTGTGATGAGTCATTAAAATTAATGGAATAAAATATTATTTAAGTGTTAAAATGATCATATTAAAAATGTTTTACGAAGGGGAATATAGTGAAAAAAATAACGATATTGAAATTTTTTCAAAGGCAAAAATATAAAAAAAATGTTACTCTCTTTGTTAAAAATCTTTTAGCATTAGGCTGTGTATTAAATATTTTGGCATGCAGGTATATTGATTTTATTTTATCAAAGTGCCTAAAATGAAAATACTGATGTTAAAAGTTTATTGTTGTATTTCCAAAGTATGTGCTCTTTTTTTGCTGCTGCCAATTTGCATATATCCTCTGTTGAGTAAAGCCAGCCTTGTACTGATAAGGTGAATTAATATTTTCTTAATTGAACAAATTAAGAAATAAACATATGATAGCCTAATAATTGGCTGCTGCCATCTTTCCTCTTTTTATTTCATAAATCCAGTACTTTTTGCTCTAAGCTTTTTCATCATGATTGAGGGTTGTTACCATCTTTTGGATAATTAGGGCTAAAGAAACACAAGTTTTGAAACATTATTTGGAAATTACATTTGATTGTATTTGTTTTTTGTATATATAAGCTAGTTTGCTTTTGTCTTAGGCTGCCATAAATATATTGGTTTCTCTTGCTAAATCTACTGGACCAAGAGTGAGAGGGAAGAGAAAAAAAGGAGAGATCTCGCTCTTATTGAGGCCTATTATTTGTATATGTAATGACCAGTAAGTAACTTCTCAACTTGTGTTTGGATGAAACTGAAATATTGTTCATTCCCTAAAAAAATGCACATTTTTGAATGAAAATTTCAGAAACTGTGCAACAATGAAACATTTCATAGAATGTAGAATATAAATATTAATTTGGCATCACGTTTACTCTTCTAAAGGAGAAACAGATAATTTTATTTTTATTTGGTCCTTTAGTTTAATACTTTTTAATCTAATCATAAGACTGTGGAAAAGTCCTGAATGTGTCAGAATTCAATTATACCCTAGTTAGTAGTTAAGTGAACTTTAAAATTACAATAAATGAAATTAATAACTTTTTGTTACTTATCTTGATATTAGGTTTAATAAATACAATTTGGTTCCATAGCAGTTAATTCATAGAAAGTAAAGTTCTAATGGTGCTGTTGTTTTTCCAAATGTAACATAAATGGTATTATATCGAAATGAAATAATTCAGATACAGCATATTCTTGATGCAGCTTCAGGAATATATATTTTTAGTCATTCTAGAACCAAAGATGTTTTTATTATGAAGAGTAAAGATGACTTAAAGAAAAGTAACAAACATACAACGTTACGACAAGGTTTCATCATCATCATCATCGTACATCAGTATTTAAAACCCAGGTTATCCACTGTTTCTTGATATTTTTCTTTTAAATTACACTAACATTTCTGTATGTAAAAAATTTAATATTTATGTAATTGGAAAGGTTTGTTAGTTAAGTTCATCAGAATGTATTGGATTAGAAGAAAGTGAAACCCTTTAGTTCCCCAGAATGTGTAATTTAATACACATCAAAATAGTAAGAAACAGTGGATAACCTGGGCTTGAAACTTTAAACATTGAAGGTATGATGGAACATGGACAGCAATGTTTTTTTTATATGTATGACAATAGTTAAGAAAAGGATACTCAGCAGTCAGTGTTGGCTAATGCACTTGAGTAAATAATAAATATCACATAAACTGTAATATCTTTTTCTCCTGTTAATTTGTTTCAGATTTGAGATCAGAAGTGTGTAAAAACAAGACTTGCTAGTATTTAATTCTGTACATCAGTGATAAGTAGCTAGCTTCTTTAAGTTTACAAAAAAACGAAACTAATTTCTGTGTGTGTAATGTTACTCATGCTACTTAAATATAGAATTTTACACTGACATTTCAACTAGAAGATCTCGTGTTGAGGCTGAATTAGGGGATTTTTAAGAAGTATATATGCACTGGGCTTCCAGAAAGGCTGTAATAAGTGTCTTACTTTTTATGTATTTGTTGAAATGAAGCAGTTTTCATATTAGAAACAAGCCATCTAGAAAGACCACTATATAGCCTTCTTGTTTATTTATAACTGACTTTACAGTAGTTTTTTTTTTGTTGAATTTTGTAAGCTATGAGTTTATTGTTAAATATAAAGCTATACAATGGGCTATCTGTGATATGCCCATGGTTTAAACTGGACTCAGAATTTTATCATCATAAGCCCTCTAGCTTGCCATTTGCAGTGAGGGAACTTGAAAGTTATGATTGGTGACAGTCAGATTATCGATTGGACTTCTAAAGTTTCTGTTTGTTTTCACAACATTAGGTATGTACCTGCCTTGCGACCACTTAGACAGATTGCTTTAGTCATGAATTTTCCCTCAATTGTTGCTGCTCGATTAGCAACGAGGTTGCATGAGGTAAGTGTTCTCACCTGTAAACATCTGGTTGTGAATGAGGTAGTCGTTACTATGATAGAGATGTCACATGAAGTTCTTTTATTAATAGCTTGGTAATGGTTGTTTACTTCATACAGCTTCAGTTGTAATGATGGTTTTAGTTTATCAATAGCAAGATACTTGTGTGCACTGTGATAGATGTACCACTTGTTGTGTATTTGTTGGAATGTAGAACTTTGTAAATAGATGTAAGATTTCGTTTTTTTTTTCAGAATTATCAATAATTCTATGCTCTCAACTATTGCTGTAAATGAGCAAAACAATTTTTAGTTCATTAGTATATATATATGAGCCAGGTGTGACCCAGTGATTAGCATGCCAAGTCTTAGATCCAAGGATCTGTGGGTTGTGTCCCGTAGCTACAAACTTTTGTTCTGTAATTTTGGGTGCATTATAAAATTTGCTGTAAAATCCCACTATTCAATTAGAGTAATCCAAGAGTGAACATTGAGTTCTATTGTCTAGTTGACTTCCCAATAATCCATTAGTTCAAAATTAGGGACAGCTAGAGCAAATATCCCTTGTGTTGCTTTGTGGAAACTAATACAATAATATTAGCAGAGAAGAAAGGTAGCAATGAAAATTTAAAGTTCAGATCATTGTCACCAGGGAAGTTATGTAAACATATACACCTGGAAAAAAGTTAAGCACCCCCAAATATTTTTCAGGATTGCTTATTGAAAATAAGGTTTAATTTTCATGATGTTGAGCAATGTTCATAATTTCAAACATAATTAAAAGGATGTGAGCATTCAGGTGTGACATTTAAATCAGGGCGTTTTTTTCGACGTGAACTTGCTCCCTTCTTCACGTCCAATATGCACTATTTTCTCGTGCATC